GTGTAGGATACTTGCAAAGGTACTTTGTGTCAATAAAATGCATATCCTTCTCCTACGCAATCCTCACTCCTTCACTGGTCAGATGAGAAAAATCAGATATTTGTGGCAGAATCATTATTTAGTTCTCTTTTCATATCCTCTTTAGTGTCTCAAGAAATGGATCTGAGGATCAGCATTACTGGAGCTCAGAAAAAAATCAAATTAAATCTGAGCTGTGTAATATGATCTGTGTCTTAATGTGACCAGGGAAAAGAGGGTAAAGAATTAATCTTTTTATCTGGAATATTAACATTTCTTATGAAAAATAAAACATGGGTTTGCAAAAGCACATCTTAGCTACTATTTAAGTAATTTTCTTCAGTCAGGAGATGTACCTTACCATAAAATTTAGCTGCTTGTTTCTGATGATACTTATTCTGTGCAATTACTTAAAAAACTCAGACAGACTGGTTAATGATCTTTTTTTCCTTTTATACAAGAATATATAATAGTAAAAATAACAGTATTAAACTAAGTAGTGACTTGAATGCATACCATAATTGTCATTTTATGTTATGCTTGTATCACTGAATAATTGTACTGGTGTGTAACTGGCATAGCAATTTAATGTTGACAATGTTTTTTGTGTCCCTTGAAGGTCAGAAATGGGAGTGATGTGCAATCACCACTACTTGGCAGGTTCTGTGGAAATACTGTGCCCAGTCCCATCTTCCCCCAAAACCACGTTGTCTACCTTCGTTTCAAGAGTGATTTTTCAGGGGCTCATGATGGATATGAAATTATTTGGACTTCGTCGTCAAGTGGTAAGGCTGTAATTACAAAGTAATTCTACATAGAAGGAAAATGCAGCAATATGGAATTCTGCTATTTTTGGACTCTGCCTCATCAACATTTCAGACCTTCCCTAGAGGACACAGTCCACCCTATTCAGTCACTGGAGAGAGGTAGTTGCTCCTGAAGACCAGGGGGGTGAGATTCATTCTGTGAGATGGAGGAAATTCCCTCTCTCTAATGCTGACTTTAGCAGCCTCAGAGGATGTAGTCCACTTAAGATGAAGATCAACTTCTTTCACTGATAGGTCAGAAAATATCAGGAACATCTACCTTGGAATCCACAGAGTGGCAGCGGTGGTGGTGACTCAGCCTGCCTCGTTAATAGTCCAGTTGTGATATGCCCTAGGATCTAGGCACTGCTCAGCCTAAAGAGGACTGAAATTTGCCCCAAGACAATAAACTAACTATAATGTGTAATGACTATACCACAGACACACTCAAAAATGTCATGAAATGGCAGTGAACAGCTGGGTAATAGTTTGTTCATGACACTGAGTTACTGGAGGTAGGAGAGCTCATGACCAGATGAAAAGCACTGCAGAATAACCACAAAGTACTGAGTGGCCTAGTGATGAAAAGGCAGATAAAGCTCAGTGTAGGAAAGTGTCAATGAAGAATGTGGTCAAAAAAAGACAACCCTAACTTTACATACAAAAATATTGGCACTGAGTTGACTTTTAGTACTCAACAGCAAGATCTTAGGGGTAAAATAGTTTCATGAAAAGAAAAGCTCACTGCTCACTAAGGGTCAAGTAGGCTGGCACAATGATAGGAATTGTTGCGAAAGGAAGAGAGAAGAAATAGACAGCCACTGTATAAATCCATAGCTCACACACAAACTGAATGATGTCCACAGTTCTGGTCTTCTCCTCTTATAAAAATTAGGATTAACAAAAGGCTCAACATAAAAAATAGCTTCTGTATGAAGGATGCTGAGACTTGTTAATCTAGTTAAGAAACTGCTGAGGTCTATAAAATTGAGTGATATTGGATGATAACTAGTGATCAACAGTTCATTGACTTTTCCCATAGAAGAACTAGAAGCCATCAGATACAGCCAGGAGTTAGCAGGTTCAAAACAAACTAAACAAACTAGTTCTTGACATAGTATGCAGTTAAGCTGTGGGGCTCCTTCCCATAGCATGCTACAAATTTACATCAATTCAAAAACTACCCACACAAATTCATGGAAGACATTTGATAAACACTGAATAGAAAGATTCCACCTCTGAGAGCTGTGAGCTGAAAATTCTTGGAGACTGTGAAAGTAATCTGAGGCATGACCTGCACATTCTTACTCTATAAACTTGCATTTTTCCCAGGTCATTTGCTTCTGCCCACTGTTGAAGATGGAATTTTTGTATAAATGGCCTTTAGTTTACTGAATACGACTATTTGCTCTGAGTTGTTCTCTATATTTTTCTATCAGATGAGGATTCACTACTTTTCATGAAGAACAGTCAAAGAGAATTCAGCTCTAGTTGAGTAGCTGGGAACTGAACTGACCAAGGCACTTTAGTTTTTAATATTCAGTGATGCCCATTGCGTATTTTTCTCAGGCTGCTGAAGCTAGACCCTCAGTTTTGTCTCTTATTGGAATAGTGCTGTTATCCTCATCAGTTGTTACAGCTCACAGTGTCTCTGTTTTTCAGTGCTACTAGCAATACTGTACTAATGTACTAAATTATGTATTATTTTCTGAAATTAAGCCTTCTAGGCCAGTTAACAATGTCTGCTTCCAGGATGTGGAGGAACATTATACGGCACCACTGGCTCATTTGCCAGTCCCAGCTACCCAGCAACTTACCCCAACAACACTGACTGTGAGTGGGCCCTTGCTGTGCCCCAGGGACGAATTGTCACAGTGAACTTTGATTTCATCAGCATCGATGACCCAGGGGATTGCAGCAGCAACTACCTGATCCTCTACAACGGGCCGGATGCCAGCTACCCCCCTGCCGGGCCATACTGTGGGATGGTATGTATTGCCTTCTGTCTGTGACCCTGTAAGGGGTTAAAATGATTATTTACTGTTCGATATACAAGACTGTTTCCCTAATTCTGGCATGAATTCCACATGAGTGGAAGTGAAGGCGCAAAGCATGTGAAGCACCTTAGAAGCCTTCCAATTCAGACCGTGCAGTGACATCTAGTGGGAGACATCAAGCTAGTTTGCTCCATATTTAGTTGTATTTGTGATTTAAATCGTTGCAATACCCCGAGGGAGAAATGCAGCAGCAGTATCTACCACAGACCTGAGGCCTCTTTCAATCTATGATCCAATATGTGCCTCAGTTTTAACACTCTCAGTGGCTCTTCCAAACGATCTTCACTTTCTCTAATGCTTTTCATTTTTCTCATCTTGAATTTTAGGACACAAACATCGCTCCATTTACTGCTACATCTCATCAAGTCTATATAAAATTTCATGCTGAATATGTGACTTTACCATCAGGATTCCAGTTAAGCTGGACAAGCTAGAACACTGTTTATGAGAAATATATTAACATTCCTTGCTATACTGAAGAGACTTTAGATTATAAAGGAGGTTTGAAATCCAGTGATGACAACTGCAGCTGAAGTAAGGCCTTTTAAAAGTTACTGTAAGTGTTACTGTTATGAATTTAGGATTCTGTCAAAAAAAAAAGAAAAAAGTGATCTCCTGTTGTACTGACAATAAACTATTATCTACCCAGTTGAGAAAAGGAGTTTTGGCAATATATTTTTTATATTCTTCTACATAATTTCAAAGTTTTACAATTAATGCTATAAAAAGTGAATTAGCTGGGATAAAACTTTAACATGAAATTCATAAGAGGACCAAAGATATGAAGTTGCCTTTATGTTGCTCTGAAGTTATGTGGTTTTGTTCCAAGCGCCCCTGAAAATGTCAGCTCAAGTTTTATTCAAATTGGATAAGATGAGAAATTGCAAAAAATGCCCCTGTCCTACAGTCTCTTACACAGATAATTGTGCTGAGGAACTTTCAGTAATATGTGCATTGGATATAAGAACCCGGCTGAATCAGTACTTGAGCATTTACTGAAGTTTAACACAGCAAGGATGTGATGTGGTTCTGAATCTTAACCACATGAAGAAGTAATGTCAGGATCAGAGCCCTATGTTCAATATATACAAATGTCTGTAATTATACTTATTGAGTTATATTTTCAGGCTTCTAAATCTATTTTACAACTGAACATGAAAAACTTCTGAGTCTTTACCAACTATGTCACCTTTTTAGTCAACTTTTAGGCAACTTCCTAGACATTTATGAAACAGATAAAACTTCAAAATAGGGCAGACATAGAAATATCAATTAATCTTTGACTACAATTAAATTTTCTGTTCCCTGGGCTAACACACACCAAACATAGAAGACGTTGTTGACAGGGCATACAGGGTATACTGTTTCCCACCATGAAACATTTTTTGTCTCAACCCAGAACGAATGACCAATTCATTTCCTGAATGTCAACTGTGATGGACAGGCAAGAGAAAGTTGCACCACAGCAAAGGAACATGGGCCTTATCAGAACTCTCACTTCACAACTATTACAAAGAGTCATTCACAGTGAAAGCAATTCCTTAATGTGACTATAGCAAAAATTAATTATGAAATGACAATAAAGTATAAATGGCAGTTTTAACAAAAGCTAGGAACTCTTTGAAGATTTCACAGTGAAGGCCAAAAAGCCACCATTCCACAAACACATAAAACTTTATAGCAGCTGAGCAGCCATTCTGGTTAAAATAAAATGTAGAAAAAACAAAGCAGGCAAAAAGGACAAGATACAAAATACAACTCAAAATCCTCTGATGATAAGTTAGAAAGAGAGAAACCTGTTAACTCCCACTGGCCAACAGAATGAGATGTAAGCCAGCATTTTAAAACTGTACAAGGACTAAGAAAAACTGAGCCTGTGTCCAATTGATACTCCTGCTAACATGCCTAAATATAAAATGGAAAAAGGAGAAATACCTGGTGTGGGATCAAACTGGGAGACATCTGTCCTGCTGAGCTGCTAGCAAAACAGAAAATTCCTCTAATAAGGGAAGACATAAAAGACCCTAATGTCAAATAAAACATTTTCAGTTTAGTAGTCCAGAAAACTTTTGCTCTGAGTCCACTTCCAAACATTAAACCTTGGCCTTGTCAGGAGTGTGACAGAGCATAAACTGACAAACAGAAACCTGTACATGGTTTTAATGAATGAAGTTCATTAGTGGATTTTTGAGACTGGTATCAGTCACTTGTGATACAGTTTAAAGACAAAGTTTCCCAAGGACACCCCAGTCCCTGTGCTTGCTGCACTGGGGCTGGCCTCCTGCTGGCTTAGGGACTGGTATGCAGACATGATCTGGTGGCCTGTGATGTGCATGAGGCCATTCTGGTAACACAACCTTTGGCCTTAAGCTCTAGAGGGGAACTCTAGCTAAACTGGTGACTTTGCTGAAATCTGTACTTCAAAAAGGCTGATCTCGCTAAGAAAAAAAAAGGTTTCACTTCAAAGCAGATTAAATGCTATTGGACATCTTTGGATATGATAAATACTTGCTCTTGGCAAGAACTTTGGTCACAATATCAAATTTTATAGAATCATTGAACTTCTGCAGAAGAAAAGACTGAAGAGCACTAGTAATGGGAGGAAGAGAAATTTTTAAGTTTTTTTTTAGTCTAACAATAAGTAATGATTGGTGCATCTTTAAATGTTAGAAATATTCAATACTCATGCATAATTTTATTTACAAATTAGTAAAATGCATGAGGTTATTTAGAGGGAAAAAAAAAAAAAAGAAAGTCCAGCAGGGAATTTGTGCTCATGAAGACTGTTGAATGAAGCTCCTGGTACAAGGTTCAATTGATCTAGCCCAACTGATTCTCGCCAAAAATAGTCAAAGTCTAAAATTAGAGTAAATTATCAAACCCATTCTTTTAAAAAAAACAGGAACAAAGTAACCCACTGCTGTCCTCTAACATTTTATATGAGGAACCACAAGAGAAGTACCAACTGCAGAAGTATTAAAGTGGAGGTCCTTAGAGGAGAGAGCTAGTGCTAAGCCATGTTTCTATCTTGGAAGGTAAGGAGTAATTTAAAACGCTTTAAAATGAATGCACAGAAAATGCAAACAGGAAGAACTAAGCAGATAATCTAAAAAGAATTATTCCATGAAACTCCTATGTGCTTTTTGCAGTGTACAATTCAAAAGACAAAATCTGTGTTTAATAAGATTTATAGCTTCATCTCACAATGCTGCCATGAATATCTTTGCTTTTAAGTCTGTGCACATTGCTATTTTATAGAAAATGTCATTGTTGTGAATGCCGCATGTCCATACTGTAATAGCTGCACAAATACAACCTCTCCCTGTCAATGACAAAGCACAGATAATGAAGTGCATATTTTCACTTCCTAGAGCCTGCGTGTTTTCATTTTACACATAAATCATCTTCTGCATGTTAGTATAGATATTTATTCTTATATAAAGGTAATGTTATGAGGCAGTTACATATGAACGGTAAGCCCTCTGAAGACCAAGATTTGAAGAATAAGAACTAAAAGGTCCATAGCAGTGTTTTTAATTGCTCTTCTCATGTGACAGGATTAGTCTTTATAAACAATAAATAACAAATAATACCACAATGAGATATTGTTAGGACTATAGTTACTTGAAATAAAGGACACAGAAGATATTCAGCTAAAATGCTAGAAATCATGGTGCTGGTCAATTTAAAACATTAGCTAATTTTAGTTAAATTTTCAAAGCAATTTTGACTGAAAAACAGTTTTCAATTGGTTCATAAAGCAAAGGAGGAGGTGTCTAAGTTTCCCATAACAACTCAGGATAAGTGTCCTAGGCATCAGAATTAACATATTTAGCATAATTATTTTTTGTCAACTGCTGAACTAAAACTACAGAATTATTCTGCAATCCTAATTTAAATGAAATGCAACAAAAATTCATAGGATTGACTACTGTTCATAATACAGAACCACTGCAACAATACAGGGTTACTAACAAGTAAATGTTTAAAATGTTTATTAAATGATAATTAAAATAGAGGCCAAATTTTGCTTTTATAAGAAAAAGATCAGCAAAATAAATATTGCATGCCACTTATCACACTTAGTGTAATGGTGATGAATACATTTGTAGTAGCAGTGCCCAAATGTACACAAGTGGTTTTGCAGGGCCATGTTGCTGTTGTATCGCTTTGAGCACATGCTAACCCTGCATTTAATGTTGTCCATTATCATAGCTTTTCTTGGAGGGGAAAAAAGATAAAAATAGAATAATAATGCAAAACCTCGATTCCTTGGTTGGAAGAACCTAGGACAGCGAGAGCAAGGGCAGGGGCAGAGCCACTGATCCCCTTGCTGCTTCCCAGCACAGTGAGAGGAAGCAGTGGGAGGCACATCCAGCACTCGCTGCCTGATCAGAGCAGGCTGGGAGCACTGTTGCAGGGGCAACTTTTCCCTCCTCTGACCACTACAGGCCAGCTGCAGCTCTGTCATACAGTCCTGGCCGTATATCTACCTCATAGTCACCTACTTTAGCCTGCTGTCCTAAGGACAGAAGGCATATACCAGCCTCTGCAAAGAATCTAGGCATCTGCTCATCTCACATTTAAGCCAAGTGACAGATTTAGAACAAATCTGACAGATATCAAAGATATTTTGTAGTTGTTTCATAAGCAAAAAATCAGTAGCTTGATGGCCTAAATTGGAAAAGCCTGTACTGTGAGCTCAAGCACTGTACATGTGGGGAGGGCTCCACTGGCTGGTCCCCAGGCACAGGCTGACCAGCCTCTAGCAGGGCGTATACAGCAGGAGCTAAGGATATTTGGGGCAAAAGGGGTTACAGAAGAACTTGATGGACTGGGAAGAGGTGGTGGGGGATAAGAGAGGGGCCACTGGGTTACTGCAGTGGCATAGGCCCCCTGCAGGAAATGACTCTTCACGAGTTTGACTGCTGAAGGGAAAATGTGCATAATTTTTCACGGCCAAGAAATGACCTCACCCTTGGACAGTGTGGCTTGTGTACCTTCTTTCCCACTCCTTCTCAGACAACTGGTATCTAGTGCTCCACGAGATGCTGAGAAACTTTAAAAGCAAAGCTCGACAGCAACTCCTCTGCCAAATCCAGCACGGACCTGACTGGGGTATGGATTTGTGCACTTAGACAAAAGGTTTGCTCAAGCAGGAACCAAAGGAGGTTGCATAGAAGGTATGAGTGATAGATGAACTTGTTACATAACAACAGGATAATGAAATTAGGTGGATGGTTAAAAAACCCCACAATCCTGACAAAAGGGAGTACTGAAAATATGTTTATTAAGTGAGGAGTAATTAAATACTTCTATGGTAGGGGATGAATGTGGATATCTAGGCAATGTACAATGTTCTGATCACTGCATAAATGGGGCAGAGAGAAGCCAGGTGAGCTTTGCATTAGCCACAAAGACACTGTTTTGCGAGTATCTTGTTACAGTCACATGTGCAGTTTGTTGGAATAAGGAAGTTAGGACCATATTTATAGACAATAAATCTGCCTGAGCCTTTGCTACTAAATGAAGCCTGCAATCATTCTCCCTGAAATAAGAACTGCAGACGTGTTAGCACCTACATCTTTGGGACAACTGACTAGTGACAATCAGGGCATTTTCTAGATAGAAAAGGGATCCAGATTCATGTTCCTGTAGACAAAAAAGAGCTGTATATCGTCTTGTGCATGTGAGTGACAGTGTGTTCTGTGCTGAGAAATCCAGATAAAAGGAAGGTCTTCCACTTGTATCTTGTAAAAAAGACCTGAAAGCAGCCTGTAACTTCAGGAAAGGCTCAAGGTAGTAAACACCATCTGGGGATAAACATGCTACAGTTCTGCAGCCCATAACTAAATCCTTACATTCCTAAAAAAGGTAAAGTTGAAGTTGTGCCTCCAGAAAGTTTGTTATTTGCTGGCTTAGGCGCATTTCTGCTCATCATCTTTCAGCTAGCTTATTTTAGGCTAACACTATGGAGCATATATGCAAAATTCAAAGCTTTGGTTCTCAACAGGTAGCCTAGCCTTAGGTAATTTTACAGATTTTGCCATTAATCGCTCGGAGCTTCCATGTTTGTGGAACAACAGGAAGTAGGAGCTTCTTAACTCCTATCAAAGATGTTAGAGCATAAATACATTCTGGGCAGTAAGGCTGTGACTCCAACATCATGGTGTGACAAGATCAACTAAAAGTGCACAGAACCTCGGTCCAGCCTTGTCACTAGCTTTGCACTGAGTAGACAATCCACGAAGGCACCTTAAGAAATGGAAACCGGTGATTCAATGTTCCCTTTGGTTTGTCTGTTTGGGGTTTTTTATAATGTCTTTTCCCTCAGAAAGCCTTTGCCAACCTCACCGGGCTCTAAATTCCCCTTGTCCCGACCGCTCCCTCAGGGCCGGGGCGCGCCCCCGCTTTCCGGGCCGGGAGCTGCGCTGCGCCTGCGCGCGCGGGCGGAGCGGGAGGCGGCGGGCGGGGCCCGGCGGGGCGGGGCGGGCGCGTGCAGACCAGGGATCCGCCGGGATCCGCCCGCCGTTCCCCCTGCGATCCCGCTGTGTCCTGCCTGGTGTCCCGCCGTATCCCCTCGCGTCCCGCCGCACCACCGCAGTGAGTCCCCTCGGGGGAAGTGGCGGGCCTGTCCCTCCGCGCGGGGGTGGGAGGGCGGCCGGCATCCCGGTCAGTGCTCCGCTGGGCTGGGCTGGGCTGGCCCGCGGGGCGGGCGCGGCGGGACAGGACAGGACAGGACAGGACAGGACGGGACGGGGCCCGCCGGCGGCGCGGGACGGGCGGGCTCGCTGCCCTCGGACCCCTCGGGGCCAGGGCCGTCCCGGCGCTGTCCCGGTGGGAGCCCCGGCCGGCTCACGGCTCACGGTGTCCGTTTCTGCCCCTCCCAGACCATGTCCAAGTCGCTGAAGAAGATCGTGGAGGAGAGCAGGGAGAAGAACCAGCCCGAGGTGGACATGTGCGACCGGGGCATCTCCAGCATGCTGGACGTGCCCGGCCTCTGTAGGTACCGGCGGGCGGGCACAGCGCGGAAACTTCCTTATTTGTCCCGGGCGAGCCGGGGCCGCCGCCCGGGGCCGGGGCCGGGGGGAGACCGGGCCGCCCCGCCCCGCTCCGGCCGCTGCCCCGGCCCCGCTGCCCCGGCGGGGTTGCCCGAGCCTCCTCCGTGCAGGGGTGACCTGACGCTTTGGGCACCGGGGGCTTGGGGAGAGATCCATGGGCAGGGGGACACGCCCCGCTTTAGGCTCCCGTCAGCCCCGCGGGGAGCCGTGTGTGTCCAGGGGAGCCCTGCACCGGAGGGACCGGCGTGGGGAGCCGGGGCTCCCTCCCGGGACCTGCAGCGCTCAGCGTTCCCTGTCGCACTGCTGGCATTCTGGCACTTGAGTGATGGGAAGACTTTGCCTCCTCTCTGCCTTGCTACCGAAACAAAAACACCAGCCAAGGAGCATCTCCACAGTTTTTAGGAAGGGATAGGGTGAAATCACCCTGGGACTACGCATGGCTGGTCTCTGAAGGAGAGGACAGTAGCACCGTATTACAAATACAGCAGCATGATACTTCAGATATTAAATGATTGCACATGCTTCCTGAACCGTGACAGGATGTTGCTGCTGGTATGTTGCATTTGCTGTGGTTAATTTACATCAAATGGAAGATACCAATAACAGCATGCTGTCACAGTTCTGGAGAACACATGAATGAAGAGTCAGGTGCCTTTCCCTTGCTTTTGCTTTTTCTAAAAATGCACATGATGTTATGGCACAGCCAGTATGCAGGGAGGTAAAGTCGTGAGTGGTTGTAGTGTGCCACAGTCTGAAATTTTCCTGAATGCATGAAGTTGTGAGACAAAAAAGCAAAATCTCAACCAACCCAGGAACTTAAAATTGTAACTGTATCCTGGTTTACCTCTTTAACAAGTTGATAGCAGCCAGGAGCAAATGTACATAACTCTTCTTATAAGATGGACATGAGTATAGCTCGCTTATGCCATTACCTGCAGGGTCAGGAGCACACCAAGGTACCTGCAGTCACATCAGTAAAGGATGAAGTCTTAAGTCGAATTTAACAGAACTAGGTTCTGTACTGAAGTCTTCATCTGGTACTAATTCTTTTCCTGCGTCTGGGTTGTGTGTGGGATTTTGGGAAGATGATGATGTAAAGACTGTACATGTGAACTCACATTAAATAGAAAGCTTCACTGTATTTCTATTGGACGGGCAGTTATTTGAGGCAAAGTAGTGTTTAGCTCACATTAACTACAGATCAGTTTTCAGAACTATATTTATACCTGTCAGGTAGCGATAGACATTGAGTGTGTGAGGCAGCAACAGAGTACTTGTAACAGTTGGTTTTGTTAAATAGGCTTGGTGCCTGTTATTAACACTAAACACATAATTAATTAACCAGCTTTGATCTTTAGGTGGGGAAAAAAGATAATGTTGAAGCATGTTGGTAACGCTAAGAAGAAAAAAAGTTTTTCTTGTGCAAAGACTGTTTTGGGTTTGTTTTTCAGGCAGAACCAGGGACCACAAGGTGGGACACTGTGGTCCACAGATGGTCCCTGATACCAGGCTGCTAATTAAGCATCTGAGGTGTCTTTGACAGGGAGCTCCCTTCATGAAGTGTAGACTTGTGGTACCCTGGTTAGGCTGCACTGCATCAGAGAAGTCTGTGGGCAGATACTCCTGGTGTGCACTGAGTGACTTGATCTAGCATGGGAATTTGGGGCCTTCTCCAATTTGAGATGAAAGTTAGGAAAGGAGGAAATGATGACTGATTTCTATTAAGTTAATTTATTATTCAGTTACTTTACTCCCTGACAGAGAAAGCATAAGTTGAGGGGTTTGTTTTGGTTTGTTTTTTTAGTGTTTGTGGTTTGGTTTTGGTTTTTTGTTTGTTTTTTTATTGTCAAGATATTTGCTTTCTGGATGAGGAATACCTTCTGCCAGATATGCCTTTAAAAAAGTAATGAATAGGTATTACCTCTGAATTTTTGGTAATGGTTTGAGAAAATGTTAAATGTGTTGTTTTCAAACTCTGTCATCTGACTCTGAATGGGTGGTCTTTTCTAGTATAGATTGGGTATTTTGGTTGTCTCTGGCTCTCGGAAGTGGCAGGGAAGCTAAATGAGTCTGACCTGGTACCTTCCTTTCTTGTGTGTTGGGTATCTTTCCAGGGCAGTGTTAAAGCTTGCCTTTTCAGCAACATTTTTAATTTTTTTTTTCACAAAATAAAGATCTCTGTTAAAAGCAACCATCACTATTCATGCCCAGCAACTGTTCTTTCACAGCATTTTGTCTTTTAGAAGGGCCACTAGTAGATGTTCAGAGGTAAGCGTAAGTTTAGACTATGATTGGAGGGAACATTTTTAGCTATTTGAGGTTTAAAGACTTGGTAGCTTGGAGGATATGCCTAAGTTACTGTGTTCAGTAACTCCTGATGAAGATTTTGTCTCATGTAATTATTTAGTGGTGGTAAATGCCCCTACCACAGGGGCCAGTAACTCTTAAAGGTAAGCTGCTCACTATAGTCCTTACTCTTCAAGGAAAGGAACAAGCCTTGCCCCACTGCATGTTTGAGTACTTGCTGCAGAGTGACTAGTGAACTTGTATTTAAGCTTTCTTAACTTAATTCACTTAGAGTAACTTAGAGTTACTGCAAGCACAAGGATTTGGAAGCAGTGTACCATGCAACATCTGTTCAGTGTGCCAGTCCTTCTCCTTAGGTGTAGACCTATTCTTGTCATGTGTGTTTAAAAAAAAACAAAACCCAACAAAATGTGACATAGAAAACTGTGTTATATGGGGGCAGAGAGGAGCAAAGGGGAATATATGCTCTGGCTTGGATACAATTCTCTTCTGGTTTCTCTTTTCAGTCTAATGAATTACTTGCTACAGTACAAGGCAGTCACCACTTGTATTTTCTTTTGCCTTGACTTCCACCCTCTGTAGCAGCTGTGGGAGATACAAAACAGACAACATTTGCCTCTGTCAAATACCAATGTCTCTTTCCAAATCAAGATGCAATACTTCTATCTGAAAAGAGATTGACACTTGATATCTGAAGCTGTCTGAAGCTAGCTTAGACCTTTACATCTTGGCAACCTTTACATCTCTTCCCACTTTTGTTTTTAGCAAGAGTGGAGTTACCAGCTTATTTATAATGTGGCATTCAGAGTACCAAAGAAAAGTTCAGTAGTTCCTTAACCACTCCTTGCTCAGGAGTTTATTAATGTCATTAGAAATGGAGTTCTATTTTTGGAATGTCCCTCAAATCCAGGTACTTCCATGTTGCCTTCTAATGACTTAAAGTACAAACTAGAATTGTGTTACAGGCTTTTAGAGCACCTAAATTTTTGATGCTTTCAGAATTTTAATACAAGAAAGCTCTTTTCAGAGAAGTTCTGTAGGAAGGAGATTTCATTTGAGACGGAAAATATCCCTTGATCTGAATGTTCTGTGCTTAACTTGTCATATTAATTCAAAGACCACGTGAAACAGTTTCGAGCATTAAAGACTATTCTTATTATTCCAGCATATAATAAAAGAAATGTTATACCATTTGTGAGCACATATATGCACTATAGTTGTGCATCCTCCATACACAAATCGTATTAAAAAATATCTTGCCCTGTGGAAGTGTTCTATGGTGTTGGTTTGGTTTTTTTCTTTCATATTATGACATAAATAGATGACCTTTGTTATAAAGCACCCACTATGGATGGGTAACGGTAGAGAGCGTCAATAGACACCCTGTAGGGTGAACAAGCAGGTTCAGCACGTAGGGAAGGATGTGCCCTTCCCCTGGCCTAGCAGTGGTTAGAGCACTTACTGGTAGAACTTTGAACAGCCATCAACAACTATGGAATTGTTCGTGGGAGTATGGACCAGTCTAATGTAAGTGTCTTTCAAGAGGCTGATATGAAGAAGCTACGAATTAAAGAATTATTTTGCCTAAATAACTTGAGGCATCTGCTCTGTTGTCAGGGAGATTTACTCTGTAAGTGTTAATTTGCTCTCGTTATCATTCCATCTGTAAGCTATTCATATTTTGCACAAAGTACATGCTTGTGTGGTAGGAATTAACATGCCTAGAATTATTTATCAGAAAGTTAGTGTTGATGTAATTGTTCATTCCTAAAATAACCAAAGCACAGAAGATGAAAAGGCAAACTACTGTAACAATACTGAAATGCTCATCCTGTATTAACCTCCTCCAGTGGGACAGACAATGTCTTATCTTGGCTCAGCAAGACTGCTGGGGTCTTCCTGTTTTGTGGGTGTTTTTGGTTTTTTTTTGTAATTTATTTTACCCTGGGTTTAGTTGGGTTTTTGTTGATTTTTTTTTTTTGGCAAGGGGCTGGAGGTTTTTTGTTTGTTTATTCTTTCCTTTTATTAAAAAAATAGGTTGAGTAGTGTCATCCAGATATTTTATGTAAAGGTAGCTTGCAGTGCATGGCAGCCTTATATAAAAAGGCTTGATGCTAGGGCCAAAAGGGAAGAGCCTAAATGTTCTTCCTTTGTTTTGTTCTGTTTTGAAGCAATAGTGGGACTGGGACCATAATGAGAATTTGTAATTACTGTGCAAGTAAATTGGCAGTAGGTATTATCCTGACCCTCAAACTTCTGTGTGAATATCTGGTGCATTCTTGAAATCACAATAACTTATTGTCTGTGTTCTAATGACTGTAGTGTTATCAAGGCAGTGTCCAGGAGCTCCTCCAGTGGCATCATAGAGAGGCTATAGCAATTCCCTGTGGGAATCTCTGTGCCCTTCCATTCTCAGGAGACTGGTACTCAGGCTGAATTGTCTGACCTGTTGAGTGATCTCAGCATGTCCTGCTAGTTAGGCTTACCTGGGCTGTGTGCATCCAAACCAAAATGGCCCCACCAGACCCCCTTCAGCATTCTAGATGTTACTCGGGGATGTTAACTAGTTTCTTAAGATACATGTCTTCATTATCAGAGTTTGTAGTTTAGTTGTCCTGCAGAATTGACTTTGTGTACAGAATAAGGAAAACCACAGTCAACTGTTCCCACACCATGGTCCTTTTCACAGGAGTAGGTGTGTGGCAGAGTATGGAAAACCACATTATTTCCAGGGACTGGTTGTTTCACATAGGAGAGTTTAATGTAAGTGAGCAAATTTCCCTTCATGTGAGGAGTGACCAAGTGCCACTCTCTGTCTAGGCTCCCTTTCTTAAAATGCTTGTAAATCCATCTCCGAACTGGTAGTAGCTTTGGATCTTTCAAGATTGAAGAATCTTTCTGTCTGGATATGTCTAAATTGCTGCTGGAAGTAGTCCAGAGCACAGAGACCTAAACCTTTGCTCTTTTTCAAATAGTATTAGAATGTAGCCCTTTTGGTTCCTTTGGGGGATGTCGACCTGTTGTTGCTGGTCAAAGATGCAATGGGATTCTTTGTCCATCAGGATGGACTGAGATAGTGGAGTTTCAGACAAGATGTCTGGGCTTCAGTCGAATTTAGACAATCAAGTCCAGACTGAAATGTCTAGAGATTTTGGCCTTGAAATTTTTGACATGGACTTTGTTCTGTTTTGTATAGGTATGTGAGAAGAAGCCTTTCTGAAAATAGTCTCAGTTGAAGAATAAGTGATGTGACAGAAAAGGAGAGGGAGTAGTGAGAATAATGCTTGTAAGCCTGTGGTGTTAAAGGCCAGCAGTGCACATGGCTTGATGGTGTAGTCAGCAGGCTTACCTTTTAAAACTAAATAGTCACCGAACTTATTATGGTATTTAAATTCATCAGGAGTTCTATGTTCAGAGACCAAGATCTGCATCCCCAAAGCTTTATTGCCCTTGAATAGGCATCCACACTTCCTATGCATAGACATGATGAAATCGTGGCAGGACAGGTTCACTGTGGACATGTGGATTAATCAGGGTCAATCTCTGTTTTCTAGTAGTAAATACTTAATTTTCTTTGTTCAGTTTGTAGGTGATCCAGAGCAGGTATTTGCATATGTGCTGCTGTCTAGCATTTGGGGCAGTTCGGTGACTTTATACTTCTGTGGTGCAAATAAGTTGCATGCGAGTGATGTCTCCTTATAAGCTCGCTTCTTGTATGAGTTAAATATTATTTGGCATGCTTTTCTTTTAAATATTGAATTACATCTTGAGCACAGAAACAGCAAATCCTCAGCACTTTTTTTAGTCCATGTGAGTTGTCATTCTGATTTGTATGCTTATAATGGGTGTTTCACTTAGTAGAGCGTGGGGAGGGGAAGACCTTACCATTTCCTGTCACTACCTTGAAGAGTTTGTTTTATTTTGATACCTTGGACATGTCTAGCCTTAGCGTTAACAAATAATCGTTCATAGAAGTCATATCCTCATGGAAGAGGTAGTTCATGAGCAGAAAAGAGTTAAGAAAGTCCTGTCATATTGGTGGTTATATGAACAAAATTTGAGCTTTCCTCATGTAGTTTCTCAAACTGCTTATTAAAAGGCACTTGGTGGGGATCAATGGTCTTAATGTAATGAAGTTCATTATGGACTCTGACAAAGTAAAGAAAAGATTGTCTGAATTTTGGATTCTTCTGTGAAGCTGTCAGAGCTCTGCAAAACTGGAATGAACTAGTCTAGGCCACAGAAGTGTGGTGACACCTTCGGTCCTTGTTCTGCTCTAATAAACCATAGGAACCATCAACTTCAAAGGGAAAAGAGAAATAGTGCAGAACTTCTTTTAGAATCCACTCTGTGGCTGACTGCCCAATTTGACATCCCAGTCCCTGTACCCACAGTTCAGCGTGGGTGTTGGGGGACCTTTGGGCAGCAGTGATGCAGGGTCCCACCTGCTCAGAGCCCGGTTATCATAGTGCTTGTGGCAAGATACTGACTCTTTTAGTATGGAGGTGAGGTGGTGTTGGTCTTTTTTTGCCCTTTAGTGCTGGCTTTCCTACAATATTCTTACAGACTTTCTATAGGCTTCTTTCCCTGTCCTCCTGTTCTGTATTGTGAGGTGGTGCAGGCAGTACTTAAAGTGCTCATATTTTTGTAGAAATTTAGGATGGGTACAATGTTTCTTCCTTTCTCCTCCCTACCTTTCCTTCCTCCACAAGCTGCAATTGCATAGGGAACTGTGGTGATGCTTTCTTTTTTTGCACTGAACTTTCTGATCTGATGGTGCCTGTGAGTGACAGCTTTCATTCTGCTAACAGGTTATAATTGCCTGTGTTATGTCATGAGCTTTTTCAAGGGTTAGCTGAAAGGGGCTGCTGTATCAGTGAGTAGAAGCTCCCCAAGTTGTGTTTGATGCAGTAACAGAAATGGGGACAGAGGAGTAGCTGGATGTGTCCTTTAGTCTTGAGCTTGTCTTGTTTGTTGTGACAGTGCACATGAATCTGAAGTTACTGGAGTGGAGAGAATAACTTTCGAATTTTATTTTCAGCTGGAATAGATGCAAGCTCTCAGTTGCCACGTTCATAAACTAATTTCTTTCTCTCTTTATTTGCAGTTACGCTGTCTCATATCACACAGCTAGTTCTGAGTCACAACAAGCTTACATGTAAGTATATTCCTGTATTTAGACTTCATTACAGGCAGTTGAGTTGAAAAGGTGACACTGTTAGTTTGATATTTTTTTGTAATAGAGCACAATGTCACTGTTAAGAGTACTTCTTGGTTTAGCACTTCATTAAAAATAAAGAGGTTGAGGATGTGACTTAGCAACCATGTTCAACATGCCTTTTCATCTTCAGTACAGATCTGCAGTGTACTGGAAGATATGGAATTCTCAGTCTTGTTACCAGTTCAGCCAGAAATCCATTTCCTACCATGACTGCAAAGTCCTTATGTTTAGATGAGGACTTCTGAAATTTTTAACTGTACCAGAAATTATAGGGTTTACATTTTAGTGATAATTAATTTGACTGAAGCAAAACAGATTACAGCTCCACTGCATTATGTCTATAACCAAACATATGTGAGCAAAGCCAACTGAAAGTAAGCATCAGGCATGGGAGTCAAGCAGCATACTTCTGTCAAAAAAAAAATAAATCTTTTGAGTGTAAGTTTTCTCTTGCTTGTACTGCACACACTACCTTCAGTTATTACCTTGTGAATCCTGCTTCCCACAGTGAAGAAGCCTTTAAGTGAGGTGTTGGTAAATAGCATGTAATGAGAGCAATGTAAACATGAAATGTAACTTGGTGGAGGCAGATATCAGGCTGACTTTTGCAAGGCAGAAGTGTTTGTGGGTTTTGGGGAGTTTTTTTGTTTGTTTTTTTGGGGGGTTGTGGTTTTTTTTGTGTTTTGTTTTGTTTTGTGGGTTTTTTTGGTTTTTTGTGGGTTTTTTGGGGGGGGATTGTTTTCTTTTGTTTTGGGTTTTTTTGGTAGTAGAATGCTTCAGGTTTATCCATCAGTGTCTTGTTGAAACATTCCTGCTTATTGATTGCTGAAATTCAAGCAGTGAATTTGTCTCATATTGTTGCTGTGCATCTTCTAAAGAGAAGTGTTGGTTTTGTTGATGTTCTTGTCATTGTCTGCTCTCTGCACATGCCAGTGGATTTCTCTCTCAACCAGTCCTTCCCTTTTTGGAACTAAATTGAGGAGTGTATGAAATGGGGAGGGGAATGGAACCACCAAAATGGGTTTGTGTTGATGAGAGGACTGGTTAGGTGCTTTAGCATGTACTCAAGGAAATCCTTACAAATTGAGATAGATTTAAAAAAAAACACAAACAACCCCCCCCAAAAAACAATCCATTAAAACCCAACCTATTGAACTCTTGCACTACTTGCTGCATGAGCTGTAAGGTAGTATGTTATTTAAAACATATGAATTAATGCAAAAATTTCACTAAAGGCTCTGAGCATTTGCAGAGGATTAAGCATGAGGAAAAATGTAAATATTCTTAGGTTCTAGTACTTAAACACTTATCTGGATGCAGTTTATTGGGTACTAATGTGTATCTTAAAGGGTTTCTAGTAGTAAATAGATGAAACTATGGGGACTATGTGAATGGCTGTGAGAAGTATGAATTAGTTATTCTGGGCCTTGCTTCTGATTGTGTAGTGTCCTCTCGACTGGCATATTGCTATTTGGTTTTGTCCCTATTGTAGTTTTCAAAGAATCTCAACTTAATTATAAATGTGACCAACAGTTTCCTGCCATCTATCAGGTAAATGATGACTGATGGGTAAATTGATGGGCAAATTGAGGCAAGAAAAATCCTAATCATCACTATTAAACATGCAGCTCTATCCCTGGTTTAGAAGATCATGAAGTTACAAATAGCTGGAAGCTGGGAGAATGTTTTGGGAAAGATTGTGGTAAATTTTCTTTGAGCATTTTGCCGTCTGGCATCTGTTATAAGCCACTGATGGAGTTGGGCTGTGGGGCCACCCAGCTGGTGGCTTCTGTGTTCTCTCAGGTACTGTAAGGAGATGCCTGTCTTAACTTGAGTTGCTTGAAAGCCAGGCAGTTAATTTGATCCAGCCACTTCAGCTTTCTTTACAGACTTGGGAGGGTTGTGGGCACCTTGAGATAACAGTTCATTCTGCACACCTCTATCTAATGCTTGTGGTCAGACAGCTCACCCACAGTTGGGTACCTGGTGCTGCCAGGCAGAACTTCTCTCTGATGCTCTGGTATCTCTGCCTGAGTAGCTGCTTATCTGGCACAAGGATGAAATGAGTTGTAAGTGTTACTGTTTGTAATCTTGGCTGTTCTTTCTCTGGGATTGTAAAATTCCTGCAACTGTTGACATCTAACAAACTGAATCATCTCTTCCACATGACACCTTACAAATCTTAAATGTAGCTAAAGGATAATTTCAGCTGAACACACAGCTGGCTGGGCAGGTAGTAGGTATCTGCCTTGCTCTGAGGAAGAGGAGACAGGCTGAAACTCCTGCACAGAGACTCGAATCATGGCAAACTTGGCTTGGTCAGATCTGAGCTTGGGGAGGGGTTACATTCTTCAGCATGAGCACCAGAATGAAAAGCTAAGTAACTAACCTATGTCCCAGCTATGAGTCTTAGCTGTAGACCTGACTTGGAAAGATATGGTAATAAGGAGTGTCCAAGAAGGATGTGTTTAGGTTTATTTTAACTATTCAAGAAAAATCCAGAGTATACTCTTTCTTTAAAGTAGTTTAAGTTTTCAAAATACCAGTTTAAGGACTGCCACTGTTATAAATTTGTGTTATATTAAATCTCAGCCTTTAGTTACTGCTTTCTTCTAAAGTAGCCATTAGATCAGCAGGCTGCAAATATATGGGTTCTCTCAGCCAAGGAATTCTGTCAGCCTTTCTAATTGCTGTGTTTGGGTTTCTTTTATGGGAAGGTAAGACCACTGCTTCTCCTGAGAAGTAACTCATTGAGTCTGAAACTTACTATTCTTTCACAAATGAATGTTGACACTTAAATAGACAGCACACATTTTTAAAAGGCTAAATTTCAAGTTCATATTCTCATATTTGACACTGTTGACCTAATCTTTTAAGCTATGTAATTAATTGTCTTAGCAGATTGTTCTTAAAATGACTAGGAAGCTGATGGCAGTGACACTTGACATGCTACACTAAGGTCATATTAGCATCTTCTACTAGTTTTCTGCCATTTAAATGAGTGTTCTGCTTGCCTTTTTTTTTTTTTCTGTTTAGAGTAAATATGTCTATCTGGAAGAATAGATACAGGTAAAAGCTGGATATGCATATTTCTATGTAAACATACTTCATATTTTTGCCAGTTAAGTTTCATTAGCAGGTATGAGGAGTTTGCACTTTAAATCCATCATACTGCTCAGAATACTTTTGTGGTATGGATTTTGTTAATATTTCTAGTGTGGCCTTCTTACTGCACATATGTGTCTAAATCATTCACTATCAGATGTACTCAAGTGCACATTGATTTTTTTCTGGAGCATATTAGGCTGAATTTTTTTTCAGCTATCTGGTGCTGTGCTAATGGAGGAGTCTTGAATTGGCTTTTTCTCTTGGTGCCTTCTGAAACAATTGAGTCTGTCCTTTCCTGCTTGGTGAGAACTTTTTCAAGTTCTTCAAAATCAGAAGCAAAACTCTGGGGAAAGAAAAATAACTGCAATTCTGCAGTCTTTTTGAACCAGTTGCTGCATAAGTGACAAACCTGTAATGATTCTGCTGTGGAGTCTCTGTGAAAGTCCAGTTGAAAGCGGAGGGAGAAAGTGAATATTTATGCTTTTTTTAACATAATGTAGGACTTATGGGCCAGTGTCTCTGTATGTTGTACTGGGATTTAAAGCCTTCTATCCAGTATACAGCTGAGAAGCAAAATTCAAGACACTCTTAGCCTGCATAGGTTGTCTGATCCTGACCCAGGGGTCTGTTTACCCATTAGCTATCATCAAAATAAATGAAATAAAAGTCCGGACAAATGTTCCTCAGATTGGTGGAAATGAGCAGCTGAATGATAGATATATGCCCTTCAGTGTGGTGGATTACTTTGGGTAGATGTGACCAAGTTGTCTTTGTTCCATGTCATTTGATGCTAGCTGAGGGACATACAGGTGACCTTCACCTCCTGCTCAGTGGGATCATTATTATGACGTGCATAGTGGTAGCGAGTTAGGGTAGCTGTACTGGAGGGGCATGAAAGGAGTTGCAGCCACAGGACATACTTTTGTAGAAAACACACTTGATCAGTTTGGTCAGTCACAAATATTGTTTCTGAATTGTATGTGCAACGGTAGTAACTTCTTTGGGTATCCACTCTCCTGTTTTGTGCATTTCTGCTTAGGACTGCTTCACTCAAGTTCAAGTGGAATGTAGCTGGAAGTCCGCAGCAATCTTGGCCACTTGCTCTTTCTGACACCTCTGTGTGGGGTGCAAGTGAACTTCAGGTGTTGTTACAGATCTGCATGTTCTGCAGAGCCAGGTGGCATGATTCTTCTCATGTTGATGCTCCATGGAGTGGCTGTGCCAGTCATGTGTCAAGGAATTTGTCACAGAAGTTCTTGAAATCAAACTTGGTCCTACTTTGTTCAGACCCCTTCAGCTAGAAGGGGTCTGTGTGGTTTCGTAATGGTGCTGGGGAACAGGTTGGGAATTGCAGAATGCTGATGTTCTGGGAAGGCCAGATCAGGGAGAGGAAGGGATATCACCAGGTTTGTCTGTCTGTTCTACTCTGAGTTTTGCCCCCATATCATTTCAAGCAGTGTATCACATTGTCTTGAGGGCTGAGGGTTTGTGGTTTTTTCCTTTATAAATTGGTTGTGCTAGAGCAACAACCTTTGACTGGAAAAAAGTACCTTTGGAGGCTGAAGTCAGCAGGGTAGATTAGGTTTCAGCTTTGGGTCCCCTTGTTGCCACTAGATTTGTAAGTGAGCAATAATTGGAGTAGAATTAGCAACAGAGAAACTTCCATTTATAAAGGGAACTGTTAGAGCATAAAAAATGTGGCTTATGCCTTGCCTCATGGTTTTTTTCCTAGCAGACTAGCTTTTGTGTCCTATTTTGCCATTAAGTGTGAAGTGGTACTGAACGTTGTAGACTTTAGAGAGCTAGGCTAGCTCAACGTTAGTCTCCAG